AACTGATTTTTGGCGATATGGGCGGAGTTTGACATAAACCCAAGAATCAACCTGAAATGAGACATCACGACGTTTAGTGTCAGCATATTGTTTCATGCGGTTTTGTGCCTTGGACAGTGTTGTTTGGAGTTTTTGTATGAGATGTTGTCTAGAGGTGATGAGAGAGTCCACTGCTTCAATGGTAGAGGAGCCAATTAAGTACTGTGGAATGCTAGGAGGGGGTTTCCCAAAAGTTATTTCAAAAGGGGAGTAGCCAGTAGAGGAGTGGATTGAAGTGTTATAGGACCATTCAGCAAGGTTAAGATAGTTGTACCATTGATTGGGTTGTTTGTGTACGAATGCTCTGAGGTATTGTTCTAGAATTCTGTTGAAAACTTCAGTTTGTCTGTCGGTTTGGGGATGATAAGCGGTGCTCATTCGAAGTTTTGTTCCGCTCAATTTAAACAGTTCCCGCCAGAAACGACTGATGAAGATTGGATCACGATCTGATACAAGGCTTTTAGGAAAACCATGATGTTTGCAGACGATGTCCATGAATAATATGGCGACTTTGTAAGCTGTAAAATGAGAAGGTAAAGCGCCTAGATGGACTCCTTTGGAGAATCTGTCCACAACCACTAAGATAACTGAGAAACCATGAGAAGTAGGCAACCCGGTGATGAAATCTAGTGATAAATCTTCCCAGATGGCTGAAGGTATGGACAGAGGTTGGAGGAGACCTGCAGGTTTTTTGGTAGTATGTTTGGTTTGTTGGCATGTAGGACAGTGGGTTATGAATGTGTGCACGCTGTCTCTAAGTCCTTCCCAGAAAAAATTAGACTTGAGACGAGCAAGGGTTTTGGTAATGCCCATATGTCCTCCTAATGGTGTAGAATGAAATTCTTCCAATAGTTGGGTGCAGAATGGGCTGTGTTTATCAATCCAAATGCGGTTTTTGTAGAGAATGAGACCTTGGTGTATTTTGTGGTGTGGGTAGGATGAAGGGTTGTTTTGGATGTTTTGTAGTAGTGTATGGAAAGGTTGGCTATTTTGTAGGGATTGGCGAAGGTGATCAAGAAAAAGAAAATGAGGGATAGAGAAAGAAAGGTGCGTACCTGGGCCTTCTGGAGCACGAGAGAGAGCATCAGCGACTACGTTACTTTTTCCAGATTTGTATTGGATTGAGTAATCGTAACCGAGGAGTTTAGCCAGATATTTGTGTTGTTCAGGAGTTTGAATGACTTGTGATAGGAGATCTTTGAGGCTCTTGTGATCGGTGAAGATGGTGAATCGATGTCCCAATAGATATTGGCGCCATTTCTTGACAGCAGATGTGATGGCATGAAGTTCTCTAACGTATGTGGAGGATCTTTGTAGTTTCTTGCAGAAGGGTTGGCTGAAAAAAGCGATTGGGTGTGAGTTTTGCATCAGAATGGCGCCCATGGCTGTGCCGGAAGCATCTGTCTCGATATCAAAAGGGATAGAGAAGTTGGGTAAGGCCAGAGTAGGGGTTTGTGTCATTGCTAGCTTGAGTTGGTCAAATGAGGTTTGCGCTTCTGGTGACCAGAGAAAAGCATCCTTGCGCAACAGTGCGGTGAGTGGTGCAGCGATAAAAGCATAGCCCTTGACAAATTTTCTGTAGAAACCTGTGAGGCCAAGAAATCCACGAAGCGCCTTGATGGATTTTGGAGTTGGTCAATCAACCATAGCTTGAATTTTGGAAGGTTCAGGTTGAACTCCATTGACAGATATGATATGGCCTAAATACACCAGATGGCGTTGAGCAAAAGAGCATTTTGAATGTTTGAGGAAAAATTTTCCCTCCAGTAGCTTAGTGAATACTTGTTCTAAATGACTGAGGTGAAGTTCAAGGGATACACTATAAACCAGAATATCGTTGAAGAAAACTGTGACGAAACGGCGAAGTAAAGGTTGGAGCAATTCATTCATTGCGGCCTGGAAGGTGGACGGAGCGTTACAGAGCCCAAAAGGCATCACGCGGTATTCGTAGTGACCCTGGTGAGTTCTGAAGGCTGTTTTCTCGATATCGTCCTCGTGCATTCTGATCTGGTGGAATCCTTGCCGTAAATCGAGTTTAGAGAACCATGAGGCACCACCTAGTTCGTCAAGCAATTCGTCTATGGTGGGCATTGGAAAACGGTCGCGGATGGTGATTGCGTTAAGAGCTCTGTAGTCGACGCAGAATCGCCATGTACCGTCTTTCTTCTTAACAAGAAGAACTGGAGAAGAGAAAGGGCTGCGGCTGGGTCGTATGAGGTGATGTTGTAGCATTTCTGTAACTTGTTTTTCGATTTCATTTTTTTGTGAAAAAGGATAGCGGTAGGGTTTCACGGATACTGGGGAAGAAGATGGTGGGAGAGTGATACGGTGGTCAGAGTTGCGCGATGGGGGAAGCGCAGGTTTAGGGTCAAAGATTAAAGAGTGTTGGGTAATGAGTTTGGTGATAGCAGGGATGCGGTGTGGATCGGGTACAGGATCGGGTTGGAGTATTTGAATATGAAAAAATTCAGAAGCTGAATTGGTCTGGACGCAGCGCTTAAGTTGTTGGGCCGAAATTGCTGTTGGGCCTGGGTTGGCATCTGCTTTGAGGGTGATTTGGTTGGTATTGTAAGTAAAAGAGAGGGTGAGGGCTGAATAATCCATAACAACTGGGCCCAAAGATTTAAGCCATGGGGCCCCAAGAACGATATCTGCCCCACTGAGGGGAAGGACATAGAAATCGACGGTAAATGGATGGGATTGGAGATTCAACGCCACGTTAGCACAAAGTTTTTGACATTCCAAGAGGTGACCGTTGCCAACCATAACCTTAAGAGTATTCACAGGGGATGATGGTAAATTCAGAAATTTCGCAACACGACTCTGGATGAAGTTGTGAGTACTCCCTCCGTCAATGAGTACTGCAACTGCTTGATTCGCGATTTGGCCAAGGATACGGATGGTGGCTGTAGCAGAGGAGCCGGAGAGCGCATGAAAACTAATTTGTCCATCCAAGTGGTTATCGGTGGTGGAATGGGGATCTGGCTCAATTGGTGGAGTTAGGGTTCGAATGGGGTCTGGTGGTTCGGTGTCGGATTCGTCTGAAACAAGGAGGAAGAAGCGGCCCTTACATTTGTGACCGGGAATAAAAGTTTCTTCGCAATTTTAACATAGGCCTTTTTCACGGCGGGACGCCATCTCCTCTGAGGACAGCTTGCGGTATTGTAAACGTGGTGGGGTGGGGTTTGGTTGTGGTGTGGTGGTGGTAAGGGCGTTGGATGTTTGTGCGGTGGAAGCAGAAGGTTTGGGTTTGAAGCCGCGGCGGCGTTCCTCGATCTTATCTTCTTGTATCTTGGCTAAAGCGGTGGCTTGGGATAGATTGTGGGGTTGCAAGGCCTGAACTTCACGGCGGATCTCCGGTGAGAGGCCAGAGATAAAGCAGCTGAGAACGAAAGGAGGTGGTAAACCAACGATGCGATTAGCCAATCGTTTGAAATCTGTGAGGTACTGGTTGAGGGTTCCTCGTTGGGTGAGTTTGAAAAGAGATTGGCTGGGATCTTCATAGTAGCTAGGAGCAAAACGAGTTTCAAGGGTCTGTAACAATTCAAACCACGTGGTGATGAGGCCGTTGCGGAACATATATTGGTACCAGCTTAATGCCGGACCTTCCATGTAAAAGGATGCAACGGTGAGACGTTCCTCATCTGGTGTTCTGTGATAATTAAAAAATTGGTTGATTTTGAAGATCCAGCCCATAGCATCTGTGCCATTAAAGCGTGGAACCTCAAGCTTGATATGGGGTCGTGGATGTGGGGGAATGGGTGGCGGTGGTGGTGTGGGTGTCTGGTTTTGGGTCGCAAGTTGAGCTAGGATAAGGTCGACTTTCTCAGAGAGATCATCGAGCCTTTCTGCATTTGTGGGTCTGGCCATGGTTTGGATATTAGGGAGGATCGATGAAAGCACCAAGTTGTTAAGAGTGAAAATAGCCTTGAGTTATAGGACAAGGGACCTCCTGAACAATGATAAAACTGTGGAATATTTCTCTCCCTATTTTCTCATTTTTCTGCTCTTTAAATAGCAAGTTTGATACAAGCAAAGATAGATTTCTACAATCAATCCAATGGCTAGCTTAGAATGTAGGGATTGAAGATAGATTCTAACAGGATTTCCTAACGGAATGAAAAATAATAACAAGTTTATTTGCTGAGCTGTGCTGCTTCTAGAATCCTAGGAAAGTACAGCTGTAAAACTATTTTATTCATAGTTGCTGAGGTATTTTGGTCTTGTCCTTATGCGTATGGGTCTTTGTGTGTCATTGGGCTGGGCTGCAGCAGCTGGATTGAAGTCTCTTTCAGCAGTACTGTCATTGACAGTAATGGAGGGGGTGTTATCAGTGCTAACATATTGGAAATCAATCAAATAAAAAAGTCTTTTGTCTTCTTTTATTTTATTTAATCTATTTAGTGTTCATTTCTTTTTAATATAGAAATCTTGTTGATAGCTTTAATAGAAAAACTTCCTATCACTAACTCACATCCCAAGCCGTATATGCAGTGTGAAAGTTACTCAACCTATTACATTTGAAAATTACATTTGAAATGAAAGTATTTTAAAGTTGTAGAAGTGGGGGATAAATGTAGGGGTAGGATCGAGTTTTCGTACCCGCCAGAAAGCAAAATCATCTCCGCACGTTTACTGAATTCTGACATTTCAAAACCAAACATGTCGCCCACAAGCAAACTCTACCATTTCTTTAAGCCACTTCCTCCCATAGCGTAAATTAATCAATCACATCAACATAGGTATATACAACAAAAATATTTCATATACACCTACTTTTATATATAATTAATTAAATAGAAGAGATGCTTAATTCAACTTATACTTAAAAATTATAATTAATTAACATAATTAGATTAAGTCACAAATTTAATTATAAATAAAATTAATTATCTATGTATGCCCAATCTCCATATATACAATTCACCTTCCAAACTAAAAGTAAACAAAGCTAAAGTAAAATGGTTGTATCCAAAAAATGGTTGAGAAACGTTCGAAGAAAATTCCTAAGATCATCCAACAACAAAGACATAGCTCTCCATCCTCGTATAAGTGTTTGCACAAATCAAAGCGAACAACCAATACTTCAAAATGAATCTACCACGACCACCGCCAGGGAAGACTTTATCAAATTACCATCACCACCACCAATTAATTCTTCATCAACCAAATTATTCACTAAGGAAGACTTTGCAGCAATCAAGATTCAAGCTCATTTCAGGGGTCATCTTGTACGTAAGAGTTATTGATAATTTGTACATACTATATATAGTTTGCTAGATGTGTATCATGTTTGATTTGTTATTGTTGAATCATGAACAGGCTAGAAGAGCACATAGAGCCTTAAAAAGTTTAGTGAAATTGCAAGCATTGGTTCGTGGGGTGTGTGTGAGGAGACAATCGCGTATAGCAATGCAGTGTATGCATGCACTTGTTCGTTTACAGGTTAGGGTTCGTGCAAGGCAATTGCTTGATACCTTTGATCCTACTCAATAATATACTATACTAATCGGTAAGATAATGACATATCTCATTTGTAGATAATGATTTTGCTCATATCTCATTTGTAGAGTATTAAAAGTTAAAAAAGATGGGATGATAAAAGGAATAGCTATAGAAGGAAACGAGTGTGAAATTGTAAGATATGACAATTTTGATTTGTTTGAAGTTGAAAAACCATTAGTTTTAGGGCTGATGATGTTATTTGCTAAGGTTCTTTTGTGGTTATTTAACCCTTCCTGATTAATTCTAATATGTTGGTGTGTATGTTAATGAGTTTGGAACTTAGAAGAAGATTAATTTGGTAGTAACCAAATTTGACTATGGTTGCTCCTTCCAATAACAATGATATGTGCAGATTATTTAATGAATTCATCCTGTGGCACTCTTCTTTTGGTGGTGTTTTGAGGAGTGATATAAAATAACCCGTTCAATTATAGATGTTTAGCTTTGGATGATTTTTATGATGTGAGTTTGAAACATAGTCACTAAGATCTTAATCTTATATTCGTTGTCTTGAATGCATAAATGCGTTAAGAAAAATGACTCCAAAGCAAATTATGATACTTAAGCACTCGTTTGGAAGTTTGGACTTTGGAGGAGAAGAGAGTCGAAAATTTTGAAAAAAAGGAAATGATATAAATAAAATTTTTGAAGGGTTTTGGTAGGCAAAATTTTGGACAGTTTATTTTTTATTCATATAATAATTAAAAAAATTTTACAGTTTGGATAAAATCAAAGTTTATATTAAAGACCGGCTTTGGAAGTCTTACATTAGATTTTCATTTATATATAACATTTATTTTGTGTTAGTGGCAGCATGTTAATAAAAAAATCCCTAGCATATGCCATAAGTCTAAGCACTGAGTGTAAATAATGAGAAGCATTAATTCTTTTCCAAATGTTCCGGTACCGCTAATTTTCATGCTTACCCTAACGAAACTATATAAAGTCCAAAATGAAATGTCTTCCTGCATAACTTTAAGATTGTAACTCACAGAACAAGCACATATCAAATTTTGCAAATCATTCCTTTTTATTATTCCATTGCTAAAAATATGAAGGCATTTCAAGAATGTTTGGTAGTCCTCGGCGCTGCTCAACTTCTCCTTCACTTTCTCACAGAAACTGAATGCTTGACTATACATGACTGCAACAAATACAAAAAATTAAATAAATAAATAGCAAATTTAAGAAAATTATATAGGTCAATATATCATCTCAAATAAAAAACAGAAAGCTAACACTCAAGAAAGATGCTAAAAGGACAGAGAAATACTAATAAAGAAATTTCAAGAACTCTAAATGAGTACATTTAATCATGCATGTGTTTTTGAACCCCAAATATGAGATTTCACATTCAAGTGTGGAGTCATATTTGATATAACAATTGATTTACGTAAGCTTATCATCATCTTTGTTGGAAATCCATCAAAGTCTATGATGAATTTCTACCACAATGACAATTTAATTATGAGACAAACAAAGAAAGAAGACAAGACAAATAATTTCTGCAGAGTTTCTCTCTGCTCACAAACTGTGAAAACTTTGTTATTCACTTGCAACTGCAAATTCTGTGAATACAACTTGTTTGACTTGCTTACAAAAATAGGAGTTACTCTCTCTATTTATAATTGAGCTTACACCCTAAGTCCAAAGCACAAAATATCTTTTTGTTACTAAATCAAATCTAATTTATTCTAGACTTAAATCAAATCTATTTAAATCTAAAATAAATCAAATCTTTTCGACACATAGTTTCGACACATTGGATTACAATTTAACACACCACCTAATTCATTGTGTCTAAACTATCTATGTTCATCATGGCTCTTAGCTTTCTGAATACTTCGACTTGCACTCCCTTCGTCATGATGTCTGCAATCTGATTCTCAGTTCTGCAGTGTTCCAAATTCATCCTCCCATCTGCTACCTGCTCTCGAAGATAATGGAACCTTATTTTGATGTGCTTACTTCGACCATGTGCTATTGGGTTCTTCGTCAGATTGATAGCTGACATGCTGTCGATCTTCATGGTAATTGCTCCATGTTTTTTTCCTGTTATCTCTTCGACCAAGTTCACCATCAAAGTTGCTTGACATGCACAAAGAGAAGCAACTACGTATTCTGCTTCACATGATGATAATGCCACTACTGATTCCTTTCTTGAATTTCAAGCAACTAGTGCACCACCTAGCATAAATACATATCCTGCTGTTGACTTTCGATCTTCAGCATCACTACACCAACTCGAATCAGTGTATCCCACTAACTTGCATTCTTTTCCTTTATCAACTGCAGGAAACAAAATGCCATAATCGAAAGTTCCTTTGAGATACCTTAGTATCCTCTTCACTGCTGCTAGATGTGATACCTTTGGCTTCTGTATGAATCTACTTATCATACCTACACAATATGCTAAGTCATGCCTTGTATGACAAAGGTATCTCAATGATCCAATAAGTCTTCTATATTGGGTTGGATCAACATCATCTTCATCTACATCTTTCGACAGTTGCAGTCTTGGTTCTGCAGGTGTCGAAGTTGAGTTGCATTCTTCCATCTCAAACCTCTTGAGAATTTCTCCTGCACATCTTCTTTGATGCATCATCAAACCTCTATTTCTCTTGTAGAATTCGATACCAAAGAAATATAAAATCTCACCCAAATCAGACATTTCGAATTCTTTGCTGAGATCACTTTTGAAGTCTTCGATCTCACTTTTACAGCTACCTGTTATCAACAAATCATCTACATAGAGACATATTATAAGCAATTTACTCTTGCTTCTTCTTACATATACTCCATGTTCAGTTGTGCACTTCACAAATTCCTTCTCCCTTAGAAAACTATCAATTTTCTTATTCCAAGCCCTTGGAGCTTGTTTCAATCCATACATGGCTTTATGTAGCATGTACACCTTTCTTTCTTCATCATGTTTCACAAACCCAACTGGTTTTTTAACATAGACTTCTTCATCTAAGGGTCCATTTAGGAATGCACACTTCACGTCCATCTGACATATGTGCCAACTGTTTATTTCTGCTAGATCAACAACCAACCTGATTGTTTCGATCCTAGCAACAGGTGCAAAGACTTCATCAAAGTCTATTCCTTCTTTCTGTAGAAATCCTTTCGCCACAAGTCTTGCTTTGTGTCGAGTTACTTCACCTTTCGAATTTGTTTTCACTTTGTATACCCACTTGACATCAATTTCCTTCTTGCCTTGAGGCAGTTCGACAAGTAACCAAGTGTTGTTGTCTTCGATAGACTTTACTTCTTCGTTCATTGCTTTCACCCACTTCGAATCCTTTAATGCTTCAGCTGCATTAACAGGTTCGACATCTTCATAGAAAGCATAATGTACCAGCTCATCTTCATTATCTATTACATCATCTGATGTAATCACACAATCTTGCAATCTTGCAGACATGCGTCTTGTTCTTTGAGGCCTGCTTGTACTTGGTATATCTGCTGGTTCCTGTAGTTGTTTAGTTATTGGCTTGCATTTTTGGTAAAACCCAAGTGTATGTGTGAATGTCATGACTGATGTCATAACATTCTAGTTTAGTTTGTACTGATTCATTAGGTACCTTTGCAGAAAAATATTGTCATACAGGTACTGATGTTTATAAGTGTGTATCTGAGCATTTTGCAAAATGATCACATTTTCCTAAATCAGTAGACAGGTTTTTTCAGATGTCATAACAGATGTTAAGACATCCTGTTCTGAACTAACAGGTTTGCAGTTTGGTTAATTCTGAGTTTTTTCAGGAAAATGACTCAGTCTTTCCAGAACAGAATCCTGCGTTTTCTTTGGGTTAACCTAGCTCAACTCTAACCTGGTTGATAAAGTCCTGTGACCTAGTCTTAAGGTCAAATGGAATTAACCCTAGCTTTTTGTGGAAACCCTAACTGAAGATGCAGCTGCTATATATTCAACAGAGCTGCTGTTTTGAAAGAATCCCTTTTTTTGGTCAGAAGATCATTTGTAAGCTGTATAGTTTTAACTATTGTAATTCAAGCAATTATCATTGTGATAAGTGACTTGGAATAGGTTTTTAATTGTAAGGGTTGTGTAGCACTCAAAGCTTTTAAGCAAGAGTGTTTGTATGTTTCTTGACTAAAGCTGTGAAGCAGAGTCAAGTTAGGTGTGTGTATCACTCAAAGCTGTGAAGCAAGAGTGGTTGTGTTGCTTGATTAAAAAGCTGTGAAGCTTAATCAAGTGTATGTTTTTGAAGAGTGTCTTCATCAATTCATTAGTCAAATTGTTTTATGTATCACTGCTGTGATTGAGGGGGAGTGAGTAGGAACTCAGGTTTAAGTTGTACTTAGTTTGAAATTGCATTGGGTAGGTCTTAAGTGAAGGAGATAAACTGGTTGGTTTATTCTTGAATTAACATCTCTTATAGTGGATTTCCTCCCTGGCTTGGTAGCCCCCAGAGTAGGTGTTGTTGCACACTGAACTGGGTAAACAATTGACTGTGTTCTTTACTGTTTTTGTATTTACTGTCTTATAGAAAGTCAGATACGGTGTCATAACATTGAACGTGACATTGAGTATCTGCAGCCAGAATTTCAATTGGTATCAGAGCAGGCACCCTGCCTGTATTACTGGGTGAGATCTAGGGATATCACTTTCTGGCACTATGGACAAAGAAGGAGTTTTTGGAAATAGACCACCCATTCTGGATGGAACTAATTATGACTACTGGAAACCTCGTATGATTGCCTTCTTAAAATCTCTGGACAAAAAGGCTTGGAGAGCTGCTGACAAAGGATGGATCCATCCCACCATAACTGAGAAAGATGGGACAATCAGTCTGAAGCCTGAGGAAGATTGGAGTAAAGAAGAAGATGAGTTAGCCCTGGGAAATTCCAAAGCTTTAAATGCCTTGTTCAATGGAATTGATAGAAACATTTTCAGACTAGTACATCAATATGAACTGGCCAAGGAAGTTTGGGACACTCTCAAAACTACTCATGAGGGCACTTCC